TTTAATAATGCAGAAATAGCACTATGGGGTTTTCCACATCAAGTTTCATTGCACACTGGAATGCCTCTTCCTATGATAAGGACAACAGAAAAACTGGAGTATCCGATCATTTATTATGCAGGAGTAGGAGAACATATTAGCTCCAGTGCAAAAGACAGGTACCATGAGGAGAAAAGCCCACAGCATTGGGAAACTCAAACTGGGGAAAGGCTGTTGGTGCTGCAGACCTGCCTTTTATAGTGACTGCACACCACCAGTAGCCTGGTACCATAAGGAGACCTGTAGGAAAGCAAAATCATTTCAGAGCAAGAAGGGATCAGCCTATTCAAAGCCTGATTCTATTTGTGTGTGTATTTACTTCTTTAAATGCCACAGCAGACATCCTAAGAGCAAGCGGATGCGAAGAGCCAGCAGTGTGAATTCTGCAGCTCCAGAAAGGGGGGTTCTTAAAGCCACTTAACTGGGATATTTTCAGCCATCACTTGAGCCACACTTCCCCAACCTGACAGTATTCTGCCTGATGTTTCCTGACGAGTTGAGTCACATCAGCATTGCCCAAACAGTTTTTGTTGCTTGGCTGGGGCAGTGACACAGCGCCCCATATGCAGCAGATCCCTAAAGCCTATGAAACGACAATGAAAGAAGCTGTTTCCCCCAAGCCATGCCCACACTCCAACAGATGGACACAGGTTATTGTACCAGTTCCTCAGACACAAAGCAGCCTAGTTCCAAAGATCAAAGAAACCAGGGACATTTTCATCTGCTGGAAAACAAACAGAAGACCCTGAAGTGAGTTTTTAAGGTCGTCGGGAACATCCAGGCAAAGAACTAAGGAACAAAGCTCAGACATTGAAGACAAAGCACAAAGAACCCAGACTCAGTATTTTAACAAACTAAGAGTGCCAAGACAGAACATCCAATTGCGAGGCTGGGAGAAACACTGAAAAAGACCCTGGAAAACACTGATTCTGCAGCAAACTGAGGTTAGGAAGAAATAAGAAGCAGCAGCTCTGCAGAGCTGAAGCCAGCAACACAGGGATGAGGTCAAGCAATGGTGACACTGCACTGGCTGCCTTTGGGAACTGAGGGTGTAAACAAGAATATCCGAGTGGTTTAATTCGGATAAAACCAGGGAAGCATAAAACCTGAGAGCTTTAAAATACACATTTCATCCCTTGCTGCCCGTCTGCCTGAATTCCTCAGACAGCAGAACGCCTCCAGAGCTTCAGGAGACATCCTCCTGCTGCAGCAAGGCTGCCGTGGGTTTTCCTGCACACAGTGCACACATTCTGCTCTCTGAATCTACCCTTCCTTGTCACAACAAACTTGAACACAGATTACTTGCCAGTTCTCAGACTACTGTAGTTTTCTGATGCAATAGATTACCAGGGACAGTGTTTTAACACTTTCTTTCTCAGAAAAGCCCGAGTATTCTCCAGATTCATAAACACTTTTATTTGCAATCCCTCCATATGGTTGTGCTCAGCT